TTGACAATATGATTCTGAATTAAATATGATTCCCAATTACTTATTAATTGTTACTTAGTAATATGAACATAATATGGTTTTTGGAAAATGTCTAAATTAAATACAAACACATATATAGTTGACTTTGTTCAAATAGTTTTTTAAATTTCTATTCATTAGATAATAAATAAAAATTTAGAGATATATATTTTGATAAATTAATTCTTTATCTATACAATTATAACTTTGATATTAATAATATAAAAGATATAAAGGATAACAAGTTAACTGATAGATAGTCTTTTTTATATTAGATATTTTAGAAAATAAACAGTAACAAGTTAATATAGAATTATTTTGATATAATATAATATATATTTAGAATAGTTTATAGATAGTAGTTTTTATAATAAGAAATACAAATATAAATTAAATAAAATGTATTAAATAAGATCTTGTTAATTAAAAAAAAATAATATATTATATTATTAAAAATTAGAATTATATTATATATATATTTGACAATTATTTAAAAATATATCTTAAACTTATAAATTGTTAAGAATAGATTAAATATTTTCCAAAGTATTTGAATTATTAAGTATAATATAAATTTTATAATATAATAACAAATTAAAATTATTAATCTTTTAAAATTTTTTAAATTGAAATACTTTAAAATTTTATATTTAATTAAATTTTATTAACATTATTTTAAAAATATATTTATTAAGTTTTAAGATATAATCATATTTATATTATTATTAACTTTTTAAAAAAATATGCTAATTTGAATTTTTTAAAGTAAATAAAAATTAATTTGTTATATACAAAATTTGATATGATATAAATTATATATGTTTTATTTTGATTTTATATAATACATATATAAGATTATTTGATTTATTAAATATGATTTAACATGTATAAAATCTTATTGATATTTAAAAAAATATTTAATTTAATATATATATTTACTAATAATTTGTAAGGATAATATTAGTTTTTTTTGATTTTATTATAATTTGTTTATTTTGTTTTTTTTGTAAAATTTTGATTGTTCAAAAAAAATAACAAAAAAAAAATAATGTTTTAATTAGTTTAAAATAAAAATTATTTGTTTTAATAATGCTAACTACACAACATATTGGATTTTGTTAATCATTATAGATTACATTTTCTATATATGAACAGTCTAATAGTTATAGCTAAAGTAAAAAGTATTTGGTTTATTTTTTAAAAAATATTAATTGTTTGTTTTTTTTAATATTTTTTTGTTTTATAAAAATTAAATAAATGTTTTAAACTTTATTTTTAAAATCTTTTGAATGTTTGTTAAAAAAAACAATAATAATAAATTTCTAAAATCTTTATATTTAATGTTAATAAAAAAAAAATTAGGATGAAAAAAAATCTAAAAATAATTAAAATATTATAAAAATAAAAATCCAAAAATAAACTATTTACTATACAACATTTTGAATAAGATAAGTATAATTTGAATTTCATGTGAAACAAGTAAAGCAACAACAGATTGTACGATAAAATTTTCAAAGATGATTTTTTCTAATAAGCAAGATTAACTGCAAAGAAGTTATTATACCAGTTACATATAATATGTATGCATTTTTCTTTTTCAATAAAACTAAATAAAATTCAAATTCTAATAATTATCATAATTCTTGTCGAACTAGGAAGGGATCGACCTCTAGACTAACGCTAATTATAATGAATATACCTTACCATTTCTGGTAAAAGTAATTAATCATAGGTGGGGCATTTTAAATCAGCGCCCATACGATTATAATGTGCTGAATTTAGATCATCTCATGTTACGAAAAACATTAGTAAAAGCATACCTTATTGTTAACTTTTTAACAGGTTTTCTTTAGGAACGGTAAGTGGAAAACAAACAAAATGCTAGAATTGATATAAATATCCAAAGCTAAGGTAGCGATCATTTCTAACGTATGATTCTCTTAATTGATAGCAAAACAACATGAATTCTTCTCAAGAGACAAATGCACAGGATTTACAAGCTTCTGAGCATCTCGCTTTTCTTAGACGAGTTTCCCAGCAGGCGCAACAACTAGAAGAAACACAACTTGAAGAAGAGGAAAATGGAATCAGTTCTTCAGTAGATTCAACAACTTATCCGCCTGAAATTCAACACATTCGTAGCAATCTGATCGAAGCTAGTTCGCAGCTATTGTATGTCTCTGAGGGTGAAGAACCATACGAGTTTGTATTCATTCCAAACGATCAAATCGCCTCATTACCTGACAAGAGTTCAGAGTTTGTTTCGTTAATACGACAAGCGGATTTTAACATTATGACAGAAGATGAAAAGATGACAGAACACGAGAGTCAAGTGCAGACATTTCAGGAGTTCTTTGAACCGCTCACTGGTACAAATATGGAGGATCCCTATGGACAAAAGGAAGGATACAAGGAACTACAGAAAATTGTTGAGGCATCATTTCGAGGTAAAGAGAACGTGAAAGTATATAAAGTAGGTGAATATCGCAGAGTTGGAGTTTACATTGTGGGGCTCGTGAAAGGAGTTGGAATCGCTGGACTTAAAACCTTAAGCATTGAGTCTTAATGGATCGATCGATACTTTTAAAGTTTGATACTTTATGTTCTATGATTAAACCAACTAGTTCTTTAATTCTATTTTTATGCGAAGACGAGATCACATTGTCAAATTTCAAATAATTCGTGTTAAATAAAAGCGTTTCTATTTTGCAATCAATTGCAAAGAAGTACATGTATAGAATTGTGATAAAAAAAAAAGTTTGACTTATGATCAAGTGTTTTGATACCAGGAGAAATAGATTGTTTAATTATTGTGTATTCATTACTTATTTCAGATCGTCGTCATCGAAATCATCGGGAAAGTCTTTTATTAGAAAGGGACATGAGAGATCGATTAATAAAAACGTATGGATCATTAAAAGTTACTCCAAAGTTATATACTGACCGTTAAAGAAATCTTGGTCCACAGTCTTGTCGCCTTGTTGATTTTGCCTGTGGTGATGACCGCCCTTATGATGATGAGGACCTGAAAAGAAACCTTCTTCATAACCACCACTACCAAGGTGGCGATCTCCACTGTTGAAATGACCACCCTCCCTTATGTTATAGCTTGATTGAGAATTAAATGAAGGACCGGCCGTGTTATCAAGTTGATCCTCGTAGTCGTCCATATTCATGGGATCATAAAAATCGTCTTTGGAACAAGAAAAGGAAATGATTGTTTATTACAGTGTGGATTGAAGGATGGATATGTGGAAATCTGGAAACATTTCTAAATTCTCCGCTTATGAAAATGTTGACTAGATCATTATTCTTCTTACGTAAGCCAACACTGAAGTTACAAGAACTTACCATCACCTTCAGTTGGCATTTGAGACATTTTGCCGTCGTTATTTTGTTCTTTAGATCGTTTTCTTTTCCCTATCGTGAAGAACTTGTAACCTTAGCAAAGTTCGGTAAAGAAAACACGCGCGTATAACTTTACAAAAATCAAAACCAAAAAAAAAAACAAGCGAGAAGAATAAACTAAATTTGAACTAATGAGTGACGAGGTATTATTAACGAGTAGGGCACACGAGAATTTCTATGCGCAGTTTTGATTAAATGTGTTTGTACGTACTTTGTGAGTTTCAAACTTTTGGATAGATTTTTATAGTGTAGTCACTTGCTGGTTAAAGAACCTTATAATTAGAATGCACATGATCACATGATGGGTTTTTTGTGCCACTTTTTTTAATAATTATGCAATAGTTCGCAAAAATATATAAATAGAATATCATATACTGCATATAACAAATAAATTTTAAAATTAGTAAAAAGATATGTACAGTACACAATAGTAATTTTTTATTCTATTACTAAAGTCTTATGAATAATAATAATAATACTAATTGTGTATAAATATATTATATTTATTATTATTATTTTTATTTAAAAAAATAATGTAATTTTATCAATTTATTTTGTCTAAAAAAATTACATTTAATATTATTTGTGTTTTTTCTAATTCCAATTTTCCAATTTTCATTTAATTTAATTTGATCCTTTTTGCATTGTACTTTTCATTTCTACTTTCAACTGTATCGCCTGTTTGACGGTTTTTAAGTTTGATATATTTTCTTATTCTTGTTTCTTTGCCACCTCCAGTGACAAAGTTGGTATGCTTCCCGGATGATGGTTCTTCTCCGGTGATGTCTGAAAACACAAATTCATCCAATGTCTCATTGGAATTATCTGCAAGTTCATCATTCTTATCTTGCGTTGTTTCTTGATAAATAGGTTCAAACTGTTTCAAGGGCATCCCTCCAAAATCATTCAACAATGTCGACATTAATAATGTTTTGGTCATATGAATGTTCCATTGCTCATAAATATGCTTGTATATTTTAGATGGCGTATTGAATGTGTGGTCATTGTCACGACAATATTGCCATTTCACATCATCATATTGGCAATCGTACAAGACCAACGGTAGTTCATTTGCCATTTCATAATTTGGTTTTGCTGGTGTTTTCTCGATATCTAAAAGATCATCTATAACTGAAGGATCTTCTAATCCTTGACCAACCAAAAATAAAATTGCAACCATGCATCGAACTTGATGCCACAAAAAAGCGGTCGCGTGTAAATTGAACTCGTAAAATTCCTTTGATGCCGAATGGTGATTTGTAATAGACGGTGATTGTACCTTGTCAATCCCAACGCGGGTCACGGTACGCTTGAAATTGGTGATTTTTTTCGACGGATCGATCTTACAAAAATTACGAAAATCATGAGTTCCGAGAAACCGATTTGCAGCATTTCGCATCAGGTCTATGTCTAAATTGCCTTTGACGAAGAAATATTTGTAATGTCTATGACGACAATCAAATCTCGCGTTGAAATCCGGATTCACGTTTGCCCAAGCGATCACTCTTATGTCATTAGGTAGCATACGGTTGAGTACTTCTATATAAGGAATCTCTTCGGTATCTTTTGTATTTCTCGTCTTGCCATCAATGTTTTTTTTAGACTCTTCAACGCCTTCTGCAACTTGTCTGTTACTCGATTCACCATCAACTTGTGAAATGGATGGCAGAACAAGCGGCGAATCGTGTGGGAGGTTGGATCTAACGTTCAATGCTATCACTTGACCTAAACCGCTTACACCCTTATCAGTTCTACCACATTTTGTGAAATTACATTCTTTGAGGTCCGATATTAATCTTGCACCAACAAAAGCCGTATATAATTGTCCTTCAATTGTTGGATAGCTTTTTTCATTAGCGTTTGTTTCAAATCCATGATAATTCCATCCAAAGTATGCTATTCTCAACGCAATTCGTCTCTTGGAGTATTTAGACATATCAAATGGTCGAGGGTTTTTCTTACGAGGTTTTATGGAGGCCACGATATTTTCGCAAAGCGTGTTTTGCGTAATCGCGGGTTCGAATTCCGGGTTAGTTATTGGATTTTCGTTAACTTTGACTTGTTGACGGTTTTCGTAATTCAAAAGTTTAGCAATCAAATCATGCTTGCTCCAGTTGGCATACTTTTCGGCCCCGGGTAATTGAGACATGAAGCGTCGCGTACAAAATCGTATTTGACAAGATATGGCGAGAGATCGAAGGGCTCGTTGTTTTACAAAATTTCCATAAAGCATTCGAAACTCACGTCAAATACCATAACGTGTACACCTGATGTTGGGAAATTGACGGTCTATTTTGACATGATCAATAGACGTATACTGAAACAAACAAGTTTATTTGATATTTTTTTTTTTTTGTTTGTTAAATTGAAACGAATTTATTAAAATAAAATACATGAGAATGCTTATTGAAGAAAAAGACATTTTTACAACCATATTATTTGTACAGATATCAATGTGGCAAGCGTGTTCGAAAAGATTATGACATTCAACTTTAATGATACAGAATGAATGAGACCTGACACTTATGGATATCATTGTTCTATAACTTGGCATTTATTTGCTCGGTTTTTAGAGCTGTTTCGATAAGTTCGAGGGCTTTCGAGCTTGAACCCCAACTTGTCGAATATCCTAAGAATTTAAATGCGTGAATTCAAGTAATTATCCGAATGATAGATCAGGATTCATTTATTTACCACGCGCATGATGACCATAGTTATGACAAACTATAATATCCTTTCCCTTCGAGTTTTTCCTTAGTTCACTTTCAATTCTTATTCCACCAGTTCTAGAAGGCCTTCTCCCGACGTTATTGCTGATAATCTCTAAGTACTCCTTTCCCAATGCCAATTCGGGACAAAGTTCAGTGCAACGCTTGATGATCGATTCGGCAGTTTTTTGATCAGGTTTCTTGTTACTGAATTTTTATAAGTCAATGGAAATTAAATATAAAATCACCTAACGCATGGAAATTAACAGTAATCAACAATCAAGTGTATCTTTAAACAATAATTACTAATCATTTACACCCAAAACTCCACCGAGAACTACCACACCATCTTGACGCGGAATGACATAGGTAATATAGTCGGCGCCTTGAGGGGAAAATGAAAAGTTTAGCAAAATCGAGAGCATTCGCATGTTCGTATATGCATACATTACCTATCCGAGTGCATATCTTTTTAACATGTGGAGCCCAAACAATTACAGTTTGTCCTCTTGTAGGGAATACAGTATCGTCTTCTACGCCACCCAATGTTCGCGCGCTAATCCCGGTGCAATTCACAACAATGTCCACGTCCTCATCAAGAGCTTCGTTGATGTGAGAAAGATGAACCCTCTTGATTTTGCCACCAGCATCGATGAACTGTGTTTGCAGCCAACGTAGGTATTTGGGTACATCAACGGTAACTGGTAGATGTTAAATAATAATTGGATATCTTTCATTTTTAAATGAAAACGACAATCAAATCCTTACTTGAGGTGTATGAACATCCGTATTCTACGCCTTTAGGAAGATTCCTTTGCGGTATCACTCTGAACTAAATCAAAATTCGTACATAATAATGCCTTGGTGTATAAAAAAAAAGAAAAATTTTTTTTTTTAATAATGAAAAAATATCCGTATAGTTTATCCTACTTTTGGGACCAAATCTTTGAACCAGGGATCCCCGTTTAACTTGGGTTTTTCGTCCATATAAGTGAAGCTTTGTAAACGCATCAGTCCAGTCTCGGGAAATTCGGATAAACTCCATAGAGTCTTGAACGAAATCGCTTCAAGATCTAAATAAAGAATGTTTGTGTGTTGATACTTGTGTAGAAATTTAATCCTTCGTCTGTTTGTCATATCGTAGAACACATACTGGATAGATTTGGAATGCTAATAAGTTCGGATCTCCAGTCAGCGCCTGCCGAAGGGCTCGTGTAGTTAATGTTCGAGTCACCGGGAAAATGTTCGGCAAAAATTTGAACTTGGTAACCGTTCCTTTGAAGGACTAGAGCGGTTGTAAGACCTGAAACCCCAGCACCGATAACAATTACTTTTGATTTTTGAGACATATTACAGAACAGACACGATAATAGAACACTGGCGATCGGTTAATTTATATTCCAGATTTGATATCTATAGTAAGTAGTTTGATTTATTATCTTTATACACTTATACACTTTCACATGATTAAAAGATACAGTTTGAGAAATGATAGGATTTCGTATGACTCGCTATCTTCATACGAATAAAGAATTTTGGAGAAAACCGTGCATTTAAGCATGGTGCTAGCTTTTTACAGGTCATAGACATATATGTGTACGACGTTATTAAGGTCACGAGTAATATTCGTACAAAAGGAAGATCGCTACGATTCTAGGATTTTATTGATGTGTTTGTGGTTTTTTTGTCTGCAACTTCGGATTTCGCCGCCTCTGAAATTTTTACCGGAATTTGGTATTAAGAAATTGCTCACAATATTTGAGTTGGAAGAATAAGAAGTATATATACATACGCAATGGATTTGTGCCCACACTTCCGAGAGCGGTAGAACCTTGTTCCTTAGGGTAGGCAACATTATCATCAAATTTCTTTCCACTCGGATTGGTGCCAACTCCCTCCAAGGCTGTGGAACCTTTGACGGGTACGTAGGCGGTGTTTTCGTCGATTTCGTCGACGGACACGGTTTGGTTTTTATTATTGTGAAGGTTTGATGACATTTTTCTCAACAATTAATTTTTTCTCATGAGGGAATGGCCTTACTTATATCCATTTCTTCTGCAATTGCGTCAAGGTGATTTCATAAATACGTCATTTACATCAAATTTACGTATTACATCATTACTCTTTGCTCAAGTAATCTCTCATTCACGTGACCAATTTACTTTCTTGAAAATGAATCACCTGATAAAAGTTTATATTGCGCCGAACTCTATTCCTTCTACCATTGTTCACGATGTCGAAAAAATTGAAACAACCTTACATAGTTTCTTTGAAACCAAACCGTACACTTTTAAATCCAAAGTTTGAAGGTTACAAGTTAAAGCTTTTCGAAGATCAGACCCGGTTGCGTCGTTTTTCCATATCACCACCCGGAATTTCAGTATCAAAGATCCCATTGAAATCGAAATTGTCGTACCGAGAAATTCAAAATCGCATCCACTTTAACCATTTATTCTCCGGTTATGAATCAGATGATGGTAAAAAAATTTGTTTTTATTTTGATCGGGAACTTTCTGTTTCCATGATAAAATACGATCCGGTATTTAGCAGTACATTCGTTGAACAGATTTTCACGGCCGATTTTAATGTTATTAATCGAATCGTAATGTGATTTCATGTAGATTGAAAATTCAATCGTAACACATTGTCTTGTAAAGATTCCAAGTCCATTGGATAGTGATTCAGACGCGACAGCAACTAAAACTTTTATACATTCCGAACATCCTTCATTAAAGGCTCTCTCTTCAACATTGTTGCTTGCAACAAATGGTTTTGGTACGATTTTTCTTGTTAAAATCGCAAAGAACGAATTTAATGTATATCATGGAGAAATTATTTATTGCACGGAATTTAAGGTTCAACCCAGCATCGAGCGCATACCGTGTGTTATCCTTGATGCCAAAATTATAGGAGAAAGTATCCTATTCTTGGTCTACAATACGGTGAAAATTCAAGACATTTCAATCGCTCGGAAATCGTCGGTTGACGAATCCAAGAAAACTTTGTTCGACATTACTTTAGTGCGAATGTCTGTGACGCCTCCTCATGACCTTCAAGTAGAGCACACTGTTCGTGGACCCGAAATTCCTTTATACTGTAGCATCGAACCAAATGGTGATGGTTACGTGATCGGTAGCAACGTTGATTACGAGTTGGTCAATAAAATTTCCACCGAAGAGATTGATCCAATGGAGGCTGATCAACCAGTGAATGAAGTGGATGTGGATGCAGAAAAATCGTCAAACAAAGATGACAAAAAACCTCCATACGTATGGACGCAAACATCCTCAGATGTAACCTTGTGTTTCCAGCTGCCGCCTGGTACTCCCAAGACAGCTGTTCATTGTAATTTCTCGAAAACTCATTTATCACTCAATATTCGTCTCGAAGATAACTCAAGCACGAAGCAATCATTACCGTGCTATCTTTTCACACGTCTATTTGATTTAATTGATCCCGACTCTTCCCTGTGGACGATTGAGTCAAGTATAGGTCTTTTGACATTGCATATCGAAAAACATCACCACGGCACCCGCTGGTCACATGTTTTTCAGCAGGATGATGGAGTTCATGAAACGCTTGATCCCAATGAATTCGCTGAATTTCGTGAACGCTTGGAGAAATATACCTCAGATTTATTAGACGATAATGAAACAAGTCAAATTTCCGGTAGAAGTCTACTTCAGCATTCCATTGGTCAGGAGATGGAAGAGTCCATTGATCATGAGTGGCGCGAGGTCACGTTCATTTGGATAGGTCGTGAAGGAAAAATTGGTGCAAAGACCTCGGGAGGGAGTGAATTCCTTTGCAGGCAATTCGAAAGTTTTGACTTAAAAAATGGTTTATCGATGCCATCCGTGTGCTTGAAATCCGATGTGGATGGTCTCGTATACTCTGTCGACCATCCAATTGAATCTAAAACTCATGATGTGTCGCCATTGACTCTGACTCATTTTTCGACGTTTTACGCTTTTGCCTTTGTTCAAGCGTCGAAACGCGAAAAGCGTTACATGTTTCATGACCCCTCAAACCGTTTTGTAATGATTTTTGATGGGAGCCATCATGCATTCGTCTATTGGCATAATTATGATCGTGAAAATCACGGAGAACAATTCGTTGTAGATTTTGCAGAGAACAAATATAACGACATCGATGTAGTTGGCGTTCAGATGGTGGATTCAGATAATGCTGTGATATTGGTTCTTGTTTCTGACTGTGTGATTGTAATAAAATTACTGTAAAACCTCTTTGTACAAAATAAATAAACACAATGGAAAACATGAGGCATATAATGTATGCATTTAAGAAACCATTTTTAAGTTAAATCATTGTTTGCTTTGTTTGAACAAGACCATTTTAAAAACAGATCAATTTGTCAAATTCAATTCGTTGGTGTCGTCTTTTGAGCATCGTCCACAATTCCCAATCTTGCAACATTGCTTTTTGCAGCGGAATCTGTGTACTTACGCGCTGCCGCTTCCTCTTCTCTTCTTTTTTTAATTTGCCGTAATTCTTCAGCCTTGATAGCTTTCGCGCGCGCTTTCTATTGTTTATCAAAATTGTTAATTCTGAGAAATGCGCGCTATAATTTTATTAAATGTGAAATCTACTTTACTCTCGAAACTTCCATTGACACTTACCTCTTTCTTATTATGCAAACACTCTATGTAATCTTCTAATTGCAAGGTGCATTCTTGAGGGCTATCCGCCATTGCGTAACACTTGCGAAATTCCTGCCAGAAGACGAAGCACCTGCCGCGACCGCCCGATAAGCCGTAGCCAGATGCCACTTTGGTTTGATCATTGAAAAAAATCTTAGTATTGAAAACTGAAATGCAAAAAAATTTAAAAAAAATCCACTGCAAGAATCTTAATTTTCGCACACGAACTTGTGAAGATAATTTTAGATAATGTGACGATTTTAAGATGATCAGCGGATCAGGAAACCTATTTACAAACACATGAGGCACATGAGATTCGAAAGCGTGATGATTTATGATTTGCCTTAACATGCTAAGCATTAAATTATCAATTTGTACTTTAAAATTCATATTAATTTTATTAATTTTATTCAAAAGAAAATATTAGGTTCGACTTTGCGTTGTGTATAATGCAATTATTAAAGTTGAATCAATGAAGATTATTTAAGTGATTTTTTTTTAGAGAATTCATGCTTTGGACTTCACTCTTAATGCATTAAATTGTTAACATTTACATTTTGTGACATTAATTTTTGACAATATTTATGATAAAATCGTTTATTATACCTATTCAATTTTTTTTTTTTTTTTTTTTTAAAAAAAATATAAGGTTCATCATCAATCAACGATCCAAATATCACGTTTTATGAAAAAATTTATCCTCGTTTGCGATCAAAATATAACAAAAAGTTATTATTATTAGCACAACTTATGCACCTTCCTCCATTTATAAAGAAAATTCGAGAAAGTGAAACTTTGATCATTCGCATTTCTTTTCCACAATGGATTTCCCATAGTCGTTATACTCTTTTTGAGAAATCCATAGTTGATGAAACGTTCCCAAGGAAGCTAGAATGGACCCCCCTAGCCAACTGCTACATTTACGTTCAATGGTGTTTCCGGGTGCGTGGATTTTGATCTTCATCTGCTATAGTGATTCGCGATATAGCACGAAAAATATAAGTATATTTGAGACACCATTTACACGACCGAAGTCAATGAATGAACATAAACTGCGTGATATCTTACCCCAGACATCATCATACTCAATTCATTATTTATACGATCGGCAAAACCAGGTAGCAAAGTAGTTCCCCCGGTTAAAATAATGTTATTCCACAAAAGAGGCCGTACATCAATGTCACAAGCGTTAATGCTATGAAAAATCATCTCGGGTATTCCCGATAACGATGTCGCGTCAATGCCTTCTGGAGGCTGAAAATTTATATTTGTTCAGAAGTGTTGGGTAATTCAATCGTGATGAACGAAAATTGTTCAAGTCTCTCACCTGTGTCAAGAATCTCTGTGGACTGAACAAGATCTCCGGAATGTTAAATCTTTGGGGACCGAACGATGTATTGAAACCATCCGGGAATTCAAAGGTTTTCATTGGGCGAGCAGAGATCACTCTTAATATAACATGTAAAATATTTATTTGATTGGTTGTTCGTGGTAATAAATATAGCAATAAATAGGTCATAAAAAAACTTACAGTTCGTCGTAAGATGTTTCAAAAACTTGACATACCGATTCCTTAAAGTCGTGTATCACTCTCTGTACCAATATTTCCGCTGATAATCAGCGATCAATTTAACACCAAACCTCAGGGTTAACTGCGATATTCAAATTGCCATATCGGTTCTTACCATTTGCATGAATTTATGATAACTGTCAGTCGTGTTTGGTCTGTCACGTAGTACCTTGTTGGAAGGCTTGTCAGGGTCTACGAGAGACTTTTTTGCAATCATATAATGTGGTATCACGTCGATTCCGCTTGATTGGAACTGCTGCAATATTTGTTCCGAAAGAAAGTCCCCACCAATCGGTTGTCTAAAAATTCCTTTAAACAAGCAATCGGATGCAATTTTATATTCTCAATTTTGATCAGAGTTAATGAATGAGTGTTCATGAAATGAACGATTCAAACCTTTTTTGAGGACATAACCATCGACAACTGGAACACAGCTTGTACTGCTTGCTCCACAGTCGACAACAATAGCGGTTGGGCGACCTGCCGCGAATCTGTATTGATCATTGATTGTTAAGGCACACACAGCCACTAATTAATTCTACGGTAAGAGAGGTTAACAGAAAGGATACGCGGAGAGCACTGGATTCTTTGCTACATAAAAAGCCAACGTTTGATACTTTTCAAACGCGAGTTCGGTGAGAGTTTCGCGATTTTCTCTGGAGTTCCAAGCAGCCTCTGTAACGAACAACGGATGTTCCTTTGGATCAATATCGAGTTGATCCTCCCAAAAAATGTGATCCCAGATCTCCTCCAGAGCATCCCAATCCTGTACTAAGAAGCACAAAAATAAAATAATGATTATCGCGTTAAAACGTTGAAGATATAACAAGAATAATATGAAACGTACTCATTCCGTCAACAAGAGGATTCTTGATTTGCATGTGAGGCCTCCACGCTGTTACAGCTGCATCTCCTATTATATACGATCCCTTATGTTTTTTGGGCCTTTTTCTTCTTCTGGGAAAGTAGGGTTCGAGGTTTTCGGCATCCCCGGTCGCGTCGCTGCTTTCAGTCATGACGGCGTCCCCGTCAGTAGTTGTCGTTTCCTCTTCCGGAAGGTAGCCATAGGAGGTTGGAAAAACAAGTTTTGGGGTATCTTCTCCGGCATAACCCGCACGAGTCCAAGCAGAGCCCACGTCTAATACTACAGCTGAAACTTCGTCTAATAAAGGTTGTGAGGTTTTCAGCCAAGTGTTTTAACGCTACCGGAACTTCATATAATATTCGAACCTAATTTGCAAATAAGAAAAGTAACCTCCGCTAAATGTGGACATTATATTTCGCCTTGATTCTTTCTAGTCTGATTTTGTCTTGCCGGGTGACAATAATATTCTTCACTCCGTGAAACAAGTTAAAAATCGGTTTACCCTTTAAATTGGGTTTACAAGTTTTGATTGGTCGATGCATTTGATAGATGATGAGTAACGGATGACGCAAGCTCCAATTCATCTTTAACTCCCCCCAATGTCCTATTCTTTGGTGATGGAAGAAGTCAGAACTGAGGTTGGGAAGTCGTAATACACTATCTTATAAAATTCGCGTTCTCATTTATTCACCCTGCAATTTTAATGTTTCTTCTTTGACCAGGATCCTATCGCCATTCACTCGGAGACAAACGAACTGCTTCAGGATCTAAGCGAAGCTGACTTGTACTCGAAATACAAAAAGCATCAAAGGCACCTCGAATTTCTCGAACTTCAAGAAGAGTATATAAAAGATGAGCAGAAAAATCTCAAGCGTGAGTTAATCAGAGCTCAGGAAGAGGTCAAACGAATTCAATCCGTGCCATTAGTTATTGGTCAATTTTTGGAACCGATTGACCAACACACAGGGATTGTTGGATCTACAACGGGATCAAACTATGTTGTTCGAATTTTAAGCACCATCGATCGAGAATTACTCAAGCCTTCTTCCTCAGTTGCCCTTCACCGTCACTCAAATTCCTTGGTTGATGTGTTACCGCCCGAGGCAGACAGTAGCATTGCGATGCTTGGCACCGATGAGAAACCCGACGTGACGTACGCAGATGTGGGTGGCCTCGATATTCAAAAGCAAGAAATTCGGGAGGCAGTAGAGTTGCCGTTAACGCATTTTGACTTGTATAAACAAATTGGGATTGATCCTCCACGTGGTGTTCTGTTGTATGGCCCGCCGGGAACGGGAAAAACCATGCTTGTGAAGGCGGTCGCCCATCACACGACGGCGTCTTTCATCCGCGTGGTCGGATCAGAATTCGTGCAAAAGTATTTAGGTGAAGGACCTCGTATGGTACGTGATGTGTTTCGATTGGCCCGTGAGAACTCTCCGGCTATTATCTTTATTGATGAGATAGATGCAATTGCGACCAAACGGTTTGATGCACAAACAGGCGCAGATCGGGAGGTGCAAAGAATCTTGTTGGAGTTATTGAATCAGATGGATGGATTTGATCAAACATCAAACGTCAAAGTATTAATTTCCGGTTCTTTAAAATGTGCAATTGATGCTGTTGCCGTCTTTGTTACGTGATTCTCATATAATTTCGAAATGCCAATGCGCAATCCACCTTTGCAGGTCATAATGGCCACGAATAGGGCAGACACTTTGGACCCAGCCTTGCTCAGGCCTGGTCGTCTTGATCGAAAGATCGAATTCCCTACACCCGATCGACGTCAAAAACGGTTGATCTTTTCCACCATTACCTCGAAGATGAATCTTTCGGAAGAGGTGGATCTCGAAGATTGTACGTGTTCGTTCATTTCTTCACGAGTTCGATTTATAGCCTCGAATTTAACGTTTTGAATTCTTCATTCAGTTGTATCTCGACCGGATAAACTCAGCGGTGCGGAAATTCACGCAATATGTCAAGAGGCCGGAATGCAGGCGGTTCGAAAAAACCGTTACGTTATTCTCAGCAAAGACATCGAAAAGGGTTATAAAGCGAACGTTAAGAAAGCAGACACGGACTTTGAATTTTATAAATAAAACAATATCAGTTTCGACAATTGACAATGTAATAATTAATGATTCTTCGATTGATCAGATATCTAGACATTATAATTTAAGGTTCCTGCCGGGAAATCAATCAAACTCTTTTCGATAGGTGTTATGCACTGACGACATTTTTAACCTGGTGATTCTGCAACTTTTTACACTATATTAGATCTTTTTTACGCATCACGCGAATACCCAATTACAAAAAATTTCAATGTCATTTCGCTGATATTTTTTCTCGTGTCAATGGTCTTTATAATTTTGTTTATTTGACCTTGCAGAAAAGTGGACAATGTTAAAACGTCAAATACCAATGTTACCTGCGAGAGGGCCCGAAACAATTTGCGTCAAGATGATCATACAAGAAAGAAGCTAGAATGATGCAATTCCTTTCCATACATGATATTAAAAATTATGCATCAACATGAGATAGATAACATGAGACAGATAAGAATAAATCTATTGTTGCAGTAATGCAAAAAAAAAAAAAAAAAAAAAAAACTTATAAATCACAAACAATGGGTCAATGACCATAAAAACCTAGGATGTAGTTTTGTAGGAATCACCTATGGTTTGATGGAAAAATTGGAGAATTGTGACACGGGATTGCTTACCTTCAATCAGATGGGTTACGTAAAATATGGTAGTGACATTGGCACTTACCACCTAAATATTCGCCACCTGCCTCTCCAGCGCCCGTCTCAATCGGTCATCCTTTGTACTTTATTTAGTCAAATTACGGTATAGTGAAACGAATGACTTACGTCAAAAAATTCCTACCTTGAACATGTACGGACCGCAGTATTGTTTTATGTGTACAATGTTGGATTATTTAAATTAGGCATCCAATTTTTTTGTAACAATTGTAAATGGTACCACTATTATCATATATATACACTGCCGCTTATCAGTTATAGTATATAATCTTGCCGAATCCGAGGTTTTTTGGGTTCAGGAGAACCGTCCCCTTCATTCCCCCCTAGTTCAACTTCGCAGGCAGAATTCGAAAAGTTTAAAAAAAATAAAAAAAAAAAATTCCTACATATATAATATACTCTTAAACATTATTAAAATAGATATATTTTATCATTCTTGTCACTAGGGACAGTGGAACCTCTCTCATCCTCCAAATTACACTACGCTTTTTCTTTTTTTTTTTTTTTCTTCTTCTTTAATATTTATTAATTCATAAGGACAAATAAGAGTAAATACGTACGGGGATTCCCGAGCAGTGAGTGTCATCTCGTTACTTTGTCTTCTTTTTTGTTTCTCGTAGAGCTGTGGTTCTATTACAACTTACGTTGACCATTACCAATCGTTTTTCACATCATCTTGTCTGCAGAGATACAAAATAGAATAATATCAACTAGACCTAGATAAGCATAATGAGTGCAGGAAACAATATCAAAGTGGTGTGTCGTTTTCGACCGCAGAATTCCCGTGAAATTAAAGAAGGTGGTGTTCCCATTATTGAATATGATGATAATGGCGACACCTGTCATATGGAGGTTTGTAATAATTTCGATTTCATTCTCTGTATCTGGATAAGTCTGTTGAAATTACGCGAATTCGTAATTTTCGACGGCCTCTCATTTTGTCGGCACGTGCCTCGAATATAACATTATGTGTACACATACATATATATTATATTCGAATCCAATTCTTCACCAAATGTCCTCCATTAGATTGTCTAATGATGTCTTGAAGTACTCACAACGTGTTTCCTTAAACAGGGAAAAGAATTTCAAGGAAACTTTACATTCGATCGAATATTCCCACCAGAAACTGCTCAAAAATCTGTGTTCGATGAATCGATAAAACCGATCGTCGATGGTAAGATTGTGGTTGAATCATGTTCTACAATTTTTATTGAGTTTACTGAATTGTGTGCGATTCTTCTATCCTTCAATTAGAGGTCCTCGCGGGTTATAACGGTACCGTGTTTGCTTACGGTCAAACTGGTTCCGGAAAGACGCACACCATGATGGTGAGATTTTTTCTTTTTTTTCTACATTTTGTTCGATGGCTTCATGATGTTGAAATTTATGAAATTTCTCGAATTCAGGGTAATATGGATGACGATGAATTCAAAGGACTCATTCCTCGAATTGTGGAACAAATTTTTTATAGTATAATCACTTCCCCATCCACAATCGAGTACACTGTAAAGGTTTCATATATGGAAATTTATATGGAAAAAATTCGTGACTTGCTTAATCGTTAGTATGAATGCATGATTTTAGAAAATTTGAACTTCTCGTTCATATAATAATAATAATATTATTATTCCAGCCCAAAATGACAATCTACCCATTCACGAAGAAAAGAATCGAGGAGTATACGTCAAGGGTCTTTTGGAAGTTTACGTAAGTTCTGTACAGGAAGTATACGAAGTTATGAAGCGTGGTGGCAGTGCCCGTATTGTAGCATACACAAGTAAGTAATTCACAGTTAATATTTCCGTCACCAACGAATAATCGATGATTAATAATTTGCCGTGCACCTGTTTTTTTTTTCTTTCTAGACATGAATGCCGAAAGTTCGCGGTCACATTCAATCTTTGTCATTACCGTCAGCCAAAAGAATCTCTCAGACGGTAGCATAAAAAGTGGTAAACTGTCTCTTGTCGATTTAGCTGGCTCCGAAAAGGTTGGTGAACAACACATTGCACCTTGATTATTTCCGTTTAAATGTAGTTAACCCGAGAATTTTTAACTGTAGGTTGGCAAAACTGGAGCTTCCGGTCAAACGTTGGAGGAGGCCAAAAAGATTAACAAATCCCTGTCAGCGTTGGGAATGGTTATTAACAATTTGACTGACGGAAAAGTACGCATCAAAATCCTATGCTTGCTCTATTAACAACTATCCATATATGCTTGCTCATTTTTTTCGGTTCGTTTCATCTTGTAGTCAACACATATTCCGTATCGTGACAGT